TTAGAAAAAATCCTTATCGATATTATCAATAACTTTCCTTTAGTTTTAACCTAACAATCATCGTTCGGATCTTTTTCCCTTTCTTGTTATTCCTTTTTCCTTTCATTTCCATTCATAGGACGTTACAGATCGTTTAACTAAGTAGTTATCCGACTAAAGTTCCTAATCACCTTTCTCCTACTTTGATAACACTACAAGAAAGATAATATCCATCTCTTGTATCGCGTGATACAAGATTGGTGCCTTAGTGTACCCTGTATTCTCATGTTCTTCAGAACAAGTGGTACTGCTCCTCTATCGGAGCTTTGCCTCTCTCGGCTTGTTCTACCACATGTAGAATACTCATCCTAGCAAGTACCTGGACAGCATCCTACTGGGTGTGGTTTGGGGGTGGTCTCGGGGGCAAGGAAATGTGAAGTATAGTCTTGACTCTACTTTCCTTGCCCTCTCGAAGGGAGAACAGACCCGAGAAGATAGACTTCTCAACCCCGCTACTCACGGAAGGGCAGAGCCGTGAGCCTGAGAAGTCGAAACTCCCCAAACTCAACCTCCGTGGATCCTCCCCCTTTAACCTTGTCTCTGTTAATGAAATTCATTCAATAGATCTTCTGCGTTCCTCTGTCGATCCTTGTATCGCAAATACATTTCAAACTTTATCTTGGACGCATGACCTTCATTTCTATTTCCTCCTGAATCTATCTCCCCTTGTACTTTCTCCTTCCTCTCATTTTATCTCTTACTCCAGCTTCAACTCTTGTAAAAGTTCTATTGTCTTCTTCAGCTGTCTATCATCGTACTTGCGTAGATATATTTTATACGCGTTTGAAGACCATCTCCCACATTTCTTTACTTCTTCTCTTGTCGCTCCCAGATTCCATCTCAGGGAAGCGCCCCCTATCCTGAATGAATGGCCGTAAAGTAACTGTTTGCTTTGCGGTCTCCCTTTATTCCAGATCCTCCTATACGCATTTATCAATCCTGCTTTCCTAAACACCAAACCTTCTTCCCCATACTCGTCAACCGCGAATACCAGATCCGTCGGTTTCCTTGGTCGGAATTTGTAAAGTAACCGCAAGGCTCTCACTGGATCTAAGCATGATTTCTGATTCTGCAGGAATATGTACTGAAGTTCACCGGGTTTCGCAGTCTTTGCGTTCCGTAAAGCAATTCTTGCGTACGCTCCGTTGGCTCCCCATTCTACGTCCTCCCACTTCGGTAAGTCTTTCTTTGGGTCGTCAGACACCAACTCTCCCAACCTCGCTGTACCCCAGAATGCCACTAATGCAATCGTCACCATTACCATATCTAGCTCTTTCTTCATGTCACCCACACTACCTAACTGAACCAGGTCTGATATCATCACCGGAGGTCTCTTCCTTTCCACTTCTGCATATCTCATTTCCACCATCCTTGTTGCTTTCAACAACTTCGATACAGCTACGTCCGATTCGTGTGGGTATTTCTGCCTGTGAAATATATGCCAAGCCTTGATTCCCGATAAGTAAGAAACTATTGTCGTGGACTTGACCGACTCGTCGTTCACCGCTAATCGCTCCCCTTTCCTCAATGTCCAAACCACAAATCTTTCGACCAATTCCTCCGATATTGGGAGTAGCTTGTTTCGATCGACTTTCTTCACGTCTGTGAATCTCAACAATTTGACTATTCCTGAATTGTAGTGTTTCAAGGTTCCTTCGACCCAAGCCCCCCGCAGGAAGTGCTTCTGCACTTCGTCTTCTTCTGAGGAATCTACTCCTAAGGCGTCACTTTTAAAACACCCAAACGGCTTCGTCGCCTTTCGTAATTCGTTGTCTGAATTGATCTCGCGACTTGGTGAACGATTGCTTCTCCCCATCTTCTTAAATTGGGACTCGGCCTTTGGTTTCTCGTGGTGTCTTAGGAGAATTAACCTCTCAGGTGGCGCGTAAACACAAGGAGACTCTTATTTCATTTCACAAACACAATCGAAATAGAGGAAACACTCATAACAGGTAACCGGTCGAACCATACTACTAACTATATCTCCAACTGTGGAGTTGTCTGCTGTTCAGGGATCAAAACTTGTGACAGCAGCCCTTTTAGGTCTTCTGGGACATCAATCCTCACTTCGTCGCTCCACCCTCTACCTGCTCCTATCCCCCTTGACAACCCGTCCGCTAGATTGTTCTTCGACGTTACTCGCCTCTGCTTGATATTACATCCTAGCACTGTGAGTAACCGCTGGATCTGTTTCATCTCCTCATTTACCCTTGCGTCCTTAGACTTCCTCTTCTTAATCGCTGACTGTGTTGTGGTATTATCTGTATCCACCCAAAACATTTTCCCTCTTACTGGCATCACTTTTGCAAGAACCAGCAAGCCTAGCCTAATCGTGACGGTTTCCGCCCAAGCAATGTTCCTCTTACCTTCCGTTAGGCCTTTATTCAACCATTCTTTGTCCCAAGTGAAACACGCCCATTTCGACCCTATCAACACACCGATCCCGAATGAGGACGATGCATCTCCCACCCAGTCTACTTCTTCCGGGACACCTTTAGGTACTAAAGTGCACGCCTCGAAGGTCTCGAGGCAAATTTTCCACTCTTTCAGGTCTTCTACAACGTCTTCTGGGGTGAATCTTTTCGCCCTCTCATTCTTCCACGTCTTCATCCATCGGTAGAAGGAACACAGGTACGCCGCCATATGCGGTACTATATGTATCGTGTGGCCAAGGCGTCCCACAAACTTTTCGACCTGATCTAAGCTCCAATCTCTTCTTCCATCCAAATAGGCTATCACTTGAGTCAGCCTCTCTTCAATTTTCTCCTTAGGCAGTCGTACTGAGTGTTCTTTCCCGTTCCACACAAAACCTAGGAATTTTTGCTCCGTGGCGAAGTTTTTGTTCTTTTCTTTGTTCGTCTTGACTCCTAACCCATTACTTAAGTGTACTACGTCTTCCAGTTGTATGTCATCTCCCGGTCTCCTAAATATTAAATTATCATCTACCCAGCGGAAGATGGCTGGGATTTTCAACAACACTTTCACGATTGTTTTCCAGGTCTCTGCCGGGCCTCCGAATACCCCACAACTTGCCACTCCTCCAAACCCCACCGCTAAATCAATGTATATCCTTCCTTTGAAATCCATTATGCACAAGAACCGTCTCTGCGATGGATGTAGGCCTAGTTGCCTATAAGCTTTCGCCCAGTCACAAAGGGCCATCTCCCACTCTCCCGGGTTCCCACAGAAAAATTTCGCTACTTTTTTAAAATCATCCCAGTTCGTGGCATAGTTCTTCTTATCCACAAATGAATTTACTGATGGCGTCTCCGGTTTGTTTCTTGGGTATGACAGGTCATATATCAGTCGTACCGAGCCGTCGCCATTTATCGCACTTCCCAACGGGTTGGTTCGAAAAAAACTGAACTTTTCATACACTTGCTCGTGAGTGAACGGTCCAATTATCCTTCCCTCTCTCACTTCTTTAGCTAAATTATTGACGATTTGTTGCTTTACATCTCCTGCGGATTCGTGATTGGGTGGTGTATACCACTTCATCCCTTCTAGTTCGTGTTGGGGAATGCCCAGGCAAAACCCTTCTTTGAATCCGTCCACGATGTACGGGATATCCTCCTGGAGGCCTACCTCACGCATCAGAATCTCCCACTCAGCAACGTTCATCGCCGTCTCCACCGGTGCCGGCCAATCATCCTCTACTGGGACCTTGAACGTCTTCCTTTTGCTCAGCGGTAGGATTGGTTCTTCGTCATTGTCTGACGACTCCACGTCTTCGTCTGACAACTCTGTCCGTGAGAGTGCCTTTGGGACTTCCCCGTTCACCTCTCTCTCTGGTTCAGCTCGCTTCTTTGGTTGAAGGTCTGTCGTTGATAACTCAGTTTGGGTCATTCTTGTCTCACGGTTCTCTCTCGTGGCACTAACTGTTTCTCACAATCACAAATTCCTTTATTTCAGAACTCCTTCAAAAGTTTTTTTTTTTCAACTACATGAGGAGAGATCGTACCAGAAACCAATCCCAACAATTGACCAAGTCAAATTGTACCAACCCCCGCACCATTCCATTACCGTCCCATCCAATTCCATAATACCCACCACAACCGTTCGTTCCACAACCAGGAATCAGGTCAGGCAGTGTCTCTCTAACTTTCCTATCTCTCCATGAACACTTACGTCTCTCCTTTCCCGTAGCCTTTCGGTCCTTTCTTCCCACTCTTCGCTTGGTTCGACGCTTGGCTGCTAGCATGCTGCTGCCCTAACGCTACCCAATCCTTCCCTACACTCTTCCTCCCGCCATACGATTGAGTCTGAGTGTGGTTCCCCTGTGACGAAGTAGACGCCACCGGTGCTTCTTACTTCCCCCAACTTGAGGCGTGGCCACGATTTCCACCTCTCTGCCTCCGGTTCTGCTTCCATCCTGACCTGCCCAAGTCCTCTCCAAACGCTTTCTCTAGCTCATGTTCTTGACCAGTCGTGAAATTCCAGCCATGCTTTGGCTGTCCTACTGCGTACGGGTTGCACCGGTACATCAGATCACCTGCTGTTTGGCAGTTCCACCTCGCCTCCATTTCTGCTACCTCTTGAAGGCCGTCCGGTAACACCACCTCTTCCCCTCTCTTCTTCTTCTTCCCTCCTTTCGTTTTCTCATAAGTCGTTTCTGTCCTCACCCTGAACGTCACTGCTCTCACAGCCAGGTGATACCTCAACGCAACCATCCAACACTTGTGCTTTCTTGCCAACATGCTCACCACTTCCTTGTGCTTCTCCACGTATTGAGCGTACTCTTTATAATCATATCTTTCTTTCGCATACCGGTACTCTAAGTCACTAGCCAGCATAAATTCTCCATACGTCATCTGGCGTTCCAACTCCTCTCTCGATGCCATGTGTGCATCCCAACGTATCCTTCCTAATTTGGTCTTGCATGTCGTATGGTACTCGTCGATGTAAGACGACGTGAACACCGTGATGGGTACATAGTACTTCATCCGTCTGAAGTTTTTCTCCTATTGTGGGGGTAAATCTGGTAGGTCGAAGTTGGAAATTTTCTTGAAGGACCAGGTGAGCGGTTTTTCCTTCTTGATCACCTTTCCTTTCGCAGATTCTGATTCCGTTTCTTCATCTGACGAGTCTGAAGATCCGGATTCCGTTGAAGAGTCTTCTCCTTCTAAACCGGCTGATTTCTTTGGTGTCTTCGGAGGTTCTGATTCTGACGACGAAGAGGATTCCTCCTTGGAAGATGAAGGTGACGATTTTCTACTTCTCTTCCCCTTCTCAGATTTCTTCCCCCTCTTCCTCTCCTTCCTTCCTTTCTTCTCCTTCTTACTCCTCCCTTTACCTCCTTCCACCTCTCTCTTTTCTTTTCCTCTCGACCTGATTTCCTCTGCTTGCTCTCTAAACTCCTTCCTCAACTCCGTCAACTCCCCATCACTACCTAGCTCCAGTGCCTCCGCAAGTTGATCAATCAAAGGCCTCGAGTCCGGCTTCGCCTTGTTCACAGGTTTCGAGGGAGTCCTTGTTGAATGACCCTCCTGTCTCTCTGGACCTATCCAAACCAAATCTGGAACAAGAATCCTTCATTAGTTCCACCCTGAATTCGAGCTTTTCAGCATCTACGCATGTTCCGCGGAGCTTCTCTCCCCCCCTCGCTACTACAATCTTTTGGAGCGTGGGGTTCGGTTCTACTCTGGAGCGCCAAGCTGCTCAACAGTCTGAGGGTTTCGAAAAGGTATGCTTACTTTGGTCTTTCTCTATCAACAATCCAAAAGCCTATTTCCTGCCTTCCTTCTCTCCTATTCCTTCTGATTCGGAAGCTGATGAAGACCTCCTCTTCTTCTTCTCTTTTGCCTTCCTCTTCCGTTTCTTCTCTTTCTTCTCCACCTCTCCTTCTGACGAATCTTCTGTCATCGACCTCTCTCCTCTTTCTCTCTCTACCCCTCTCTCTTCCTCTTCTTGATGACCTTCTTCTTCTCTAATATCTCCTAAACTTTTCTCCGCCATCTCTGATTTGATCTGGATTATCTCTTTAGACGTTACTGGATCGTTCACTACCTGTTGGACCCCACTCATCTCCATTGACATTGTCGGTACCGCGCTCTGACTTCCGCTTGCTAAAGGTATCCTCGATTCTGCTCGTCTTTGTCTTCCTTCCGCTTGTTCTCTTTCTTTCTCAGCCTGAGCCTTCTTCCTCTCTTCTGCTTGTCTTATCGCTTGAATCATGTGGTTCGAGCTGTACTTCGTTAGGAATGTTTTCGTTTTCAACTTCCTCCACATACGTTGGGCGATAATCTGAGTTGTCTTTAGGCTGTTACAATGTTATTCGAAGTTTTTATCTTGCAATTGTCTTTCGTAATTTTTATCCTTTGACGTCAACCGCTTCCTCGTCTCTTCCTCTTGTGCCTCAATCAAAAAATCAGAAGTTCTATGAGATGAACAAAATGATCTTGTAGGATCTTCGAGGTGCGTAGACAGATGAGATGTATGTGGTCGAGTAGAGAGGTAAACTCTGTTTCTCTTTCTCTACCACATCTCAGGCTTATCCGCTCCGTGACATCTCTCTCAGTCATGTCACGCGCGTGCCTTCTCTGCTAGCACCTGAAGCTCTCTCTTGCTTCATATCAAGATATGGAATATAGAGTACCCTCTCAGGTTTGGGAACTCTATCAATTTTCTGGGCAGAAAATTAAATTATTGATACACAAAAATATTGAGAGGCCAGGAGGAGAGCAAAAAATGAATAAAAATATGCATCTTGTTCCCTGCGTTGAGAACTTCACTCTGCATATTTTTCCGTATTTTTACAGTCCATATTGATAAGTGTACTAACAATAAACCTTCACAATCATCCAATTACAACCTGTAACAAGCACTGAAATTTGGCTTATTAGTGTTTAGAGAAACTTTTGATTTCTGAAAATACTCGTAACTTTTTCAATTCCGGTCCAAAACGCTCGATTTTGGGTGCATTGGTAAGCTGGGATTGTCCTCCAAATAGCTCATAATAGGACCACACAGCATGCTGGTCTGCTAAAGAAGATATCATCTTTTTTATACATTTGTACATACAGATCCATAGAATGATTGGCATACTAGCTACATAGTTCTTGATCTTATGAAAGTTCGAGAGGAAGAGTTCAGCTTTCTAATGCACTTGAAATCGAGTGTTTTGATGCAGATTTGACAAAGTTGTAGGTGTTTTCAGAAATCAAAAGTTTCTCTAAACACTAATGAGCCAAATTTCAGTGCTTGTTACAGGTTGTAATTGGATGATTATGAAGGTTTATTGTTAGTACACTAATCAATACGGACTGTAAAAATACGGAAAAATATGGAGAGTGAAGCTCTCACCGCAGGGAACAAGATGCATATTTTTATTTATTTTTTGCCCTTCTCCTGGCCTCTCAATATTTTTGTGTATCAATAATTTAATTTTCTGCCCAGAAAATATTATATTTTGTGTAGTGTAAAGAACTATCTTATCGAATCAACGCTAAAGCGTCACCCAAGGACTCTACACTTTGTACGTGTTTACCTCGGCAGATTTTCAAGTGACTGCACTTGTTGATATACTGGCAGCGGTTTTTTATCCCGCACCATAGGCAGCTACATCCAACAACTGTAGTTTAAATCTTTCTATTTTATAAAGAATTGAAAAATAATTCCTCTCAAGTTTAAAATCAACATTCAAACTTGAAGAAATACATTTCGTAAAGTACATTTCAACTCTAGATCTAGTTCATCCCTCTTAAGAATTAGTCAAGAGTTGACAGATCCAGTCCTTCATAAAAGTGACCCACTCTTCTTTTGGTTTTCCAGAGAAACAAGGCTTGCAGGTCTTGATGATATTCTTCTCAATATGCCAGATACACAGCAAGATCTTTGCTGTCTTGAAATTGATCCTGATGGCCACAATTAGGGAAAGTTCTTGATTGGTGAGAAGGACCCAAGGTAGATAGTCTTTGTGAAAGAGAAATACTTCGCAGCAGTGATGTATGACTCCTTGCTTTCTGCCTTCATGAAGATGAAACATGCTGTAAAGGTTATGTGAAGCGCAGTTGTACCCATAATATGAAGTCATGAGAACTTTGACCAAGTTTTCTTGTATGTAGCATCCGAGATAAAGACCTGGTAGTTGATGCACAGGAATGAAATTGAATCTGGATGTGCAAAAAACACTTGTGTCACCTGGCCTTTGTCATCTGTCTTGACTTCAATCTTGTATCCCTTTTGAGCGAAGCTTACAACTAAAGTATCCATGGGACTTCTTTCATCTAATTTATCCCATTTTGCTTGTCTCTTAAGATTATACTTTGGCGGGGAATATCTGCACCACCATCTATGTTGGGGAGTTGAACCTGAAGCTCACAAATTTCAGTCTTGGCTTCAAACATCAATTTGACTGCCTTGTCCTGGGTTTCAGTGAGGCACAGTTGAACTGGAAGTGCTGATGCCACAGAGGAAGGTCCATGATTGTACATAGGTTCCATGACAATGAAGTCCCACGTGCTGGCCTCTGACTCTGTCCCTATGAGCTGGAATGGGAAGTTGGTATTATGCAACATAGGTAGAGGCCTTTTGCTTACATGTCTTGTCTGTACAACCGTGCCTATTACGGTAGGTCCCTCCAAGTGTGCATTTGTTGTATATTCTTTGAAGGCCATCATTCTTCTTTGATGTCTTTTTTACCACTCCATAAGCATGTTGAGCAGCAAAAGAGTTGGTTTTCTGTTCCATTGCATCCTTGGTTGTATAGGTGGTTTCAATCAAAGCTGATGGTGGTGGTGGTAATGGCTGTGCCAGTTCTCCTTTGATTATTGATGTGGAAACATGAATTTGAACACAAGTAAATATTTACAAAAAAACCTCTCCACAAGAATCTTGAAATATAAAAGAAAGACCATGGTTACATGTAGTGTGGTAAATACATGTATGCAGTATGTCTAGCCAAGTCACATGAGGTGTGGGCATAGCAAAGATGAGTGTGGCCCAAGTTGTTTCCAAATATTTCCTATTATGTAGTATAAACATTCTAACTCTTGACACTGAGTTATGAGGTGTGATTAATGTTTTATTATATACTACATGTGGATTTAAGTAGTTGTGTATATGTAATCAGGTTTTTGCATATGTTATATTACATGTTACATATATTTCCTAGGCTGTATGTATATGTTATCATATTTTCTCATTGATTTTTATATGTTACAATTCAGTCTATGGGTACATACACATGTACTCAGGGCTGACACCAACCCACTGATGTAACCAAGTCCCTCCGCAAGCTAGTGTATAAGCCTGATTCTAAAATTGGTAGACTTTACAAGACTAAGATCCGAGATGTAGCTTACTTTTTTAAAAAAAGGTGTTCCTGGATTTGTTACAACACAGTATCCAGATACTACTGTTGAGATAAATTTGAGCCAAAAGGTTAGTTTCTCACAGGAAGAGGTCCTTTGGAATGTTTAACCTAGATTACTCACTGAATAAAGATTTGTTTATTCAAGGTCTTCTAAAGATGGGTAAGTCAATACTCCTATCTTAGGGTGGTCTAAATTCTATCGTATACTAAGAGTGTAGAGTAGAACTCCTTGTTATTCAGGTATACCCATCCGTGAATAATATTTGACAAAGCTAGAAAGGTTTTAAGGGTAAGTCTTACTCAGTTAACACACTATAAATTGGAACAAGTTTGAAGAGCAAGCAAGAGGGTTTTAAACAAAAATCGTGACAGACAGATAAAGTAGAAGATAGGAGCTAGTTGGCTATTTGTCCTAGGCTATTAGGGTTATGGCTGGTGGTTTGAATAAAAGGTGTTAGAAGGCTTTCTAATTCTTAGTGATCTAAAATGTGTTAGGTAAGTATAAGAAGGGGATCTTTTCTTTTCTGTCGAGTGAGCACCTGATACTTGTTCTGTTCTAGCTTCAAGGTTTCTTATTCCACAGTAATCTTCTTTGACCAGATAATCAGGGTTCAAATGCTACCCTGACTGGGCTGGGTAAATTTGTTTCATTACAAAACTTTCTCCTTGGTAGGGGTTTTATCAGGCCCTGCCTGGTTGGTTAACTTGGTAGGGTTTTTTGTCAGACCCTGCTTGGTTAGTTAAGTTTTGAATATATGAATTTTAATTATTACTAAATCTTCTTGGTCAATACCTTCTTCAACAGGGGTTTGATTAAGTTTTCATGTTTTTATCCGCTCTTGAAACTTGAGTGTGAGATGTGAGGGTCTTTCTTGTAACTTGTGTGCAAGTTTCAAGGAAGTGTATAATAAATGTTTTCTGAAATATTTTGTCTATCTGAGGAGTAAGTATATTTACTCTCCAGGTTGACACTGTGGAAGAGGGACTTACAACTTATTGCATTTCCTTATGTCATACCAATAGTTCCTTTTTTGATTTTCACACTTTTCACTCTAAATCTACACTACAGCATTTCCTATCAACAACCCACAAATGATGAGTACACTGGCCTTTCCTGATGCATCTTGTACATAATACTCCTCAATATCCACATGTCTTGATAAGAAAACATTTGCTTGAGGTGACAGTGAAGAGTTGCAAGTTTTGGAGTCACAATCAGAAGACTGTGGATGATTACTTTCTGTCTCTGACAAGAATGGCAGAGAGCCTATGGGTCAGCAGAGAGAAATCAAGACACTTGTGGGTCAAGTGACTGTAATTGCAGCAGTCTCAGTAACCATAATCTCAATTTTCTCTTCTTCAATTGATGATATGGCGGCTTCTAGGACAGCTATAAAAATTCTGAGCAGAGCAAAGGGTCACAAAAGCATGGCTCTGTGGATTTCATAGAGGGGTGATGGAAGGTTTATGTTGTCTGAGACTCAGGTCGAAAATGGAGGCTGGAGATAGCCCCAGCCAAAGTGATTTTGGTATCAAGCCAAAATCTCTGATAAGTCGCAACCCCCCCCCTTTGCAGGCTCCAGGGGATGTCTCTACGGTTGGTGGGGCCTGTGTTACGCTAGACCAAGCTGCAATTTCTGATGAAAGAGACCTTTCTCTGGTCGGGAGCTCTTCCCTGATAGACCATCTGTATCCCGTCACGAGATGGTAAGAGATGCGCACC